ATCATGCGCAAATCATACTGAGGCGACGGCCCGATCCAACAGAAAGTAAATGTGCACTTGCCGAGGGTCGACGACGCGCCTATAGATGCATCTATTTAATCTGCCGAGGCGTTCGGCCCGTTCCAAAATAAACACACACAGATAGACAGTCAGTCAATAAGTCAACACGGAGCAATTGTCCAAGAAAAGCCAACTCTCTTTAAATAATCTGAGGAAGCGAAGCATAAGTCTTTTTAGAAATCCTTTTATAAATTTAATGTGATTTAAGCAATTCAAACCCTCAAAGGGTTCACAATTAATCCAAATATAACATGCTCAATCAATCAAGTAAGAACTTATCAGGGAGTGTTTATCGATATATATAAAAATCCTCTTCTAACAAAATTTTACAAGTAAGGTTAAATCTCTTTGGAAATTCATTTACAAATTCCATGTGACAGAAGCAATTGAGCTATCCAAGAATTTACAATTAATTCAAGTATTCATGCTTTTGGGTCCTAGCTACCCGGACAATAGCAAATAGTAGCTACGCACGGACTCTCATCACCTCGTGCGTACGTAGCCCCCACAAATAGGAGCACATAACCAATTTAACTAACCTATNGTATAGCACGATATATTACCGTGTTATATATAATGCTGTATAATACAGCGTTTCACCTGTTTGTGAGCCCACTAATTAGTCTCATACGGTTAACTGACATAACAGTAATTCAAACATATATAGCGCGATATTATACAACGCTATACCTTTTTGTGGGCCCACCAATAAGTGTCATGCAATTAATTAATTTTTTGATCCTTAGAAATCGAGGCATGACATTTAGTTGAATTTCCATGGCCCTTGCAAACTTGAAAACGCGTAGTTGCTTTAGGCGCGTAATTTAATATTACCTTCTTAACTACGGGTGTGCATTTTATGCGACCCAAATCCAAATCCCAAAACATTGAATAAAAGGTGTCGAGGATCCGGGTGCATTTCATGTGACGTGATCCAAAAACACGTTCTTAAACGACGTTCACTTTCATAAAAACTAATTAAAAGCGGTTAAACAATTTTAAAATTGCACTATAGGATGACATGAATTAAAATCAGACTTAAGCCAAATATGACAGTTGAGCGACCGTGCTAGAACCACGGAACTCGGGAATGCCTAACACCTTCTCCCGGGTTAACAGAATTCCTTACCCGGATTTCTGGTTCGCGACTGTTAAACAGAGTCAAACCCTTTCCTCGATTCGGGATTCAAACCGGTGACTTGGGACACCATAAATCTCCCAAGTGGCGACTCTGAACTTCTTAATAAACGAATCCCGTTTCGATTGTCCTTTAATTGGAAAAACTCCTTTTATTATACCCTTCACGGGGCGTAGTAGCGAGAAAGGAGGTGTGACAATGCCAACACTGCCTGCTCGGAGTTCACCAAAAGATCATAATCCATGGGAATGATTACGTATCGGTTAGGACCTTCTGTCCTCACTTCCACGCGGGTGTTTCTCTCCAAGAAGGCCCGCACATCTTCAGGATCGATGTCCAAACCTGAACCTTCATCCTCAGCAAGCACCGCTCCACCCCCTCCGGCAGCAGACGGTGCGCCACCTTCAGCAAATCGTACAGATCCCTTGCCTTGGCATGTCTCTTCGGCCCTAGGTGACCTCCCCGCCAAAAGGGTGTCCACCATGAAAACGGCCCATGTGCTTGACATAGGCGAAGACGCCACTCCTGAAGAATGATTTTCCTCTTTTCAACGCAGGTGGCGACGGCTTTCCCAAGCTCCACCCACCTCATCTTTCTCGACAGCGATTTATCTCCGTTGGAAGACTCATATACGAGGTGGTAGGTAGGACGGGAAGAGATCTCATCCCGTACAACGACATCCCGAGGAGGGTCCCTTGTTGGCAAAGTCTGAGTACGACCTCCGCGGACGGACTCGACTATAGTAAATTGTATCCCCGCTGATGCAATGGCCTGGCAAAATGCCGGGACTGGAGCCTTCTTTTTGGAAATCCGTCCTCTTGTCACCACATAGGGATCGTATCAATAAATGATAGCAAACAACCGAAGGTTGGAGCAAAAGTGATGCTACCAAACGGAACTTTCGGTCCAAAGCGTTTGAAGAAATCGGACCAATCTCGAATCCCCACTATGTAAGGTAGCACGCGAGCTACCCAATCCTCAATCCCGACGACGGGAAAAGGTGCACGCCTCTCAGCTGCACGAAAAGATCACAGATGAATAAAAAACAGAAAGAACGAAAGTAGATAACAAGCGTACGTCAACGACACCTACGGTTATGATTCCACTACTCAGGAAATCTAGCATGGTCTGACACCAAGTGCTCCGTTTTGATGAAAAAATACTTGTGCCAAAACTTCCGGCTCGCCTTGTCATCCGTTCCAACCACCAACTCCCTGGTCCCGCGATGTCGCAGATGTATCATGGTACCTCTATGAAAGCTCGGGGAAAATAAATGTAAAAGGTGGCGGATGTCAACTCTCACACCCATCCAAACCGCATACTTCGTCATCATCAGAAAGATTTTATACAAGTACGGAGACAACTATGCCGGGCAGACTTCGTAAAACCGACAAAACTCCTCCGCCAGCGGAAGAAGAGGGAGAGTGTGACCGATCACGAAAGGATACACATAAAAAGCACAATATCCAGGTCTGTGGACCTCTACGATGTCCCCCCCAGCTGGAACCATCTCGACGTGAGGAGGAATATGGTATGTAGACCGGAGTTCATCTATCTGAGATGGCCCGGTTTCAGAAATCACCAGAACGGGAGAAGGTGCAGGTTCCTTATAGAAATTGTTCATGAACAAATGTTTTTGGGGAGTATCTCCTCTACGGTAGGGAAAATATCACCCTCCTCAGCCGCGATATCCTCGCCACCGGAAGGAGGGGCAACTGACAACGGAGTGGCATCGGAAACTTCATCATGTGCACGAAAGGTTCGGGACATCTCGATAACAGAGGGTGTGCTAGTAAACCTGAAGGGAGAGACGATGACTAAATAGGAAGATGGTAAGCAGAATCGCAGAAATGGAGCTAAGAATTGAGAAAGATGATCAAAGGAGAATAATGTACACACAAGGAAGTAGATGGCGAAAATTTCTGAAAAAATGAAACTCTCACCTATTTATAGGGATGGGTGGTGTGAGAATCGAAGCAGAGGACTGTCAATGGCGCTAAAACCAAAGCGACAAGTACACAGACGATATCTCGGGAAGATGCGTAATGATGACACGCGTGGTAGTGACGTCACATTTTGATAATCACACCAATTAGGGTTCCGCAGGTTGTGTCGTTCTCTCGATCTTAGTCAACCCGGCATAATCTAATAGCCAAATTCTCCCACAACGTAAACGAATGATGTCCGCTTACCAAGGACGTGCGGGGGCTACGACCTCGACAAGCGGAGGGGCTAACTATATAGGTCCAAATTTGGTAACCACGGTAACGGTTAAGCAAGACATAGGACGGGGTTGACCACGACACAGACTGACGGCCGTCCAAATGAAGGCCGACAACTAGAAGCAGGCAGCTGAGATAGGATAGTAACGGTAACTTAAACTCAGAAATAGACAGGAAGAATATTCCTTTAGACATTCTTTATATTGTACTTTTTAGGGTTTATTAGTGAATGTCCCTTATAAATAGGAAGAGATGGGGAACAATGGGGACTTGCCCTTTTGGAGAACTGAGACATATTGTAAAGTTGAGAGAAGAATATACGAAAATAGTTGTCTTATTCATTTTATTCAAGCACATGTTGTTCAATATTTATCCATAAATCTCAAGATCCCATACTAAGATTGACTACTTACCTTTCCACGTCGTTAGAGAAAGGAAACACCCAATCACACAATCATTGGGTGACGATTCCTTTACAATATAACCCTTGTCATTCTCGCATTTATTATACATTTATGATATTACATATCTTGCCAATCATAGCATATTAAATTCACTATTTAATGTTCCTAATCCCAATTCGTTATACAAGAGTTTTGTTTTACTTGGTCTAGAATTTATTAAGTTCAACTGAGATTCACCCTATTAATTTATTCTTAATTGGTTTAGCAATTATCTGCTCAAACACTAACTAGCTTGGAATTTAAGGCGTAATTAATTGATTGATTAATCATTGATATTCTTCATGGAACTTTTCATGATTCCCATTATTATTACGGAAAATGGCCTAATATATCTCTGTACTATCAGAAAAGGTTTAAATATATCCTTCGTTATACTTTGAGTCCATATATATCCTTGTCGTTATACTATTGGTTCAAATATACCCCTTTTCCGTTAAGTTTGTCCAAAGTGAACATCCAATCCTACGTGGCACTGACATTGATGAGGTGGAGGCCACATGGCTTGCCACCTCAGTGCCATAACCCATTTTACCCCACTTCCTCCCTTTTTTCACCACTAAAATTTCTTTTCCCTCCACCACTATCGCTACCATTACCGCTACCATGAAAAATATTATATTTTAAATTTTAGTCCTTTATACATGGATTAGGGGAACTGAGGTGGCATGCCATGTCGCATCCACCTCATCAAATATTAGTGCCACGTAGTATTGGATGTCCACTTTGGATAAACTTAATAGAAGAAGGGTATATATGAACCAACAGTATTACATCAGCGGTATATTTAACCCAAAGTATAACGAATGGTATATTTAAATCTTTTTTATTTTAGTAATTATATATTTTTTATTAATCACCAATGTAACTTTACAAAATCACAGTTGGCTTTTATCTCAACCTCCTGTCTCAACTATAGTTCCTATCTATACCTGTACTTACATCAATAATCCTCAAACCCTATGTACTAGTCTACTTCTATTCAAAATTTAAGCTGCTGTAGGAGTGTTCTAGTTTGAGCAGAACCTCTCACATTACATACACATGCAACGGTTCTAGCTACTTCTTCTACTTCCCTGCTTCGTTTCTCAAAGATTCTGAGGTTTCTCTTATTCCAAATCATGTGTATTGTCCAGCATATACCATTTTGAGGACTGCTGCACTTCTTGATTGCCCTTTTGCATGATCAATTGCCCACTTCCAATGTTGGTCCCATGAATTTGCCCAAAAAGGTTGCCTTTGCATCCATTGTAGTATTCTCTTCCATATACTCTTAGCAAACTCGCATTCAACAAACGTATGATTTCTGCTTTCATCATATGATTGGCATAGTACACATATGGTATCCACCTGCATTCCCCATCGAGCCAGCCTGTCACTTGTCATCATCCTGTCCTGAAAGTATAGCCACATGGTGAATTTAACTTTAGCCCTTGCATCATTCCCAAACATAAACAACTTCCATTCCACTCTTGGTAATTGGCCCATCATCCGGTAGTATATTTTCCTAATCATGCTCCTGTTATTCCTAGCCTCAAGTTGAGTTGATTCCACCAAATTCCTTGCCTCAATCATCTTTCTGACTAGCCAAGAGGCCTACTGAGGTATTGGCATATAAGAGATTTGTTGTCCTTTTATGTAGTAGGCATGATCCATTTGATCCACATTTTATCCCCTTTGTGCGCAAGATCCCAATAGTTATTATTAACATAGGGCGTCTCCAGGTTGAATAGGTTTCTAATGATATTCATTTGTTCTTTGTCGCAGTCCCAAAGTTGATGTGTGTGGTGATTCACTTACATTTGACTGTTTATATTGTAATTTTTTTATTTTAGCAAGTAAACTATTCTTAGAGGTAAGCTTAAGCTGAGCACATTCTTTCCTCTCCGGAAAATATGCAGATAGCTTTTTCTGAAAAATGCTCCTTTTGAAATGGTTTTCCCTTGTTAAAGGCAATGTTGTTAAAGGTTCATTTGAGGCCCGCTTAGACTCTGAAATGGGTCGCGCACGAACCCGGTTCGGGTTGGATATTTGGCTAATTTAATTAATATTTTATTAAATAATTAAAGAAATTTTGTCCAAAAAAAATTAATCAATCAATCCGAAGCCAAGCAACGGCGGTGCAAGGGTTGCCTTCATCTTAACTCTTTAAGAGCTAGAAGAAGAGCAATTGTATATATACCCATCAAAAGTCTTTTCTTCCTCCAATATGGGACAATGTCCCTTTGCCAAGGAGGGAAATTCAAATATTTCATTTTCTTTCCATTTCTCATTCACTCTTTATTTTGAGCTACCCAAGCTTAAACGGCGCTATAACATGCGCCTTATTGACGAGAGCTCCATTAAATATAATAAGTATAATTGGCCAAGAGTTGTATTAGTTTATGAAGGAGACTTTATGAATGAATTTGTTGCTACTTGTTAAGAGATGGAATTTGAACATTTTAATACAAGAAAGCTAGTCACTTAACTTGATTTAGAAACGTAAAAACATCTTTGCATGTAAATCAAAATTTAAATAAGTTTTTACTTCATTTACTTTACTTATCGTTTCTATGGTTGGGGTAATTATATTTCTGTTTCTCAAGGCTTGGCATATAATAGGTTTTTTAATCTACATTGAGTATATATTAATCTGATCGGATGTATGATTAATTTTATTATCATACGTGATCTAAAATAATGTATTATAAATAGAGAAATTTAAAAGACAATCAAATTATGTATTAGTAATGTAGATTTAAATACTAATTTAATCAAATGATACCCAAGTTTTTGCACTATTTAATTTAATTGGGAAAAAATGTGAAGGGTCAAAGTTTCTATCAGACTGGTGCCACGTTTTAGGCTCAAAAGTAATTTGTACCATTTTGAACTGAGTCAAATTTCTACGAAGAATCCTCGGGCATTTTTTGGACCATAGACAAGTAACAAAAATTTGCCATGAAAATTGTGTAGCGGTTTACCTTTGAAATAAATGGCTATGCGCATCTTACGATATTGTCAATTTGTTATTTAAACAACATTGTTTCACCAACAAAAACACATTTTTAACGTTGTTGCTTTCTTAAGTTACAACAAAGAGGGTTTGACCCCTAAAAAACAAAGGGTTTGACCCAATTAAGACCTTCTTCCATACATTTTAGAAAGAACAACAACAGATTAATTCTTTTGATAATTTCAACTGCAATTCTTAGTTAATTAAATTAATTTTTTTTTCTACAGCTAGTCTTCCTGAAAAAGGAAATATCCTTAAATGGGAGGACCTAAGCTGATAAATTTGTCTCTGTTTTTATTTTCCACTTTTTGGGCTATAATTCCAGGCCTAAATGGTCACATTGGTGATTTCGATGAAGTGTGGCGGAGGCGAGCCCAAGAAGCTGAAGAATGGGCCCTTAAGGCCTATGAGCCCGACCCGGTTAATGTCACCCTTGCTTTTGCCAAGCAAACTAGGGAGTACGTTAATTAATTTCGTGTCTTTTTCTAATTTCTGTTTTCTGCATATTTGTGGTGTACGTTTACAAACCTTGCAATTACAATAACATAAAATATTAAAGTGACATTTTTCCATAAAAGAGGCTGTGCTATTTTGCAATAGTTTTCTAAAAATGTGCTCGTTTAAGTTTTCTTCAACAAGTTTTAAAAAGTTAAGTATTTTTTTCCCCAAAATACTGTTTTTTTTTATTTAAGAAGGTTTTTGAGAGTGTCTTTACGAGAATATTTTTTTTTCCCCACAAAGCTTTATCCAAAAAAAAATCGACTATTTAATAATCTATTCTATCTGTTTCATTTTATATGATACTACTATAAAATTTGAGGAGTCAAACTATTTTTCCTTTCGAGAGTACAAATGTTACAATTTGTAGCCATTTTTATGTAGTTTCTTACTATCTAAATTTTATTTCAAAAGGATGAGAAATTCAGAGATGATGGCTAGCAATTTCTTATTTTATCAAGATTTTAACTAGGATTGTTACATAAATAGTCGGCCAGATTCAATGTTTACTTTTTCTTGTCGGTATACATAGATTATACTTAATTATATACAGTTATACATATATTATACAAGTCGGTATACATAAATTATACATTAATTATATACAGTTATACATATATTATACATAAATTATATTATATATTATACATTCGTCGACTATTTCAATTTTAAGAGATTAAGTGGTCGGCTATTTGAATTAATTGTTCTTTTAATTATATATTAATATAAAACTTCAAAACAGGTCAATGAAGGAATTAAAGGAAGTGAATAAGCTAGCAACGAATGAAACAAGGAGGGAATTAAGAGGCTTTCACAAGAAATACGCTGGGCCTTGTTTAGTCACCAATCCCATTGATAGGTGCTGGAGATGTCAAGGTAATTGGGTCGACAATCGTAAAAGATTAGCAGATTGCGCAATGGGCTTTGGCAAAGGGACCACCGGCGGCAAAGCCGGCCAATTCTACGTCGTCACCGACTCTTCCGACGACAGCAGCAACCCTAAGCCGGGAACCCTCCGTCACGCTGTCATTCAAAAGGAGCCATTGTGGATCATTTTTGCAGAAAGCATGACCATTAGATTACATCAGGAGCTGATAATGCAAAGCGATAAGACCATTGATGGTCGTGGTGTTAACGTTCATATTGCATATGGTGCAGGTATTTTTGAAATATACAATTTAAGCGTTTAAAATGGCGATTTTAAGTGTTTGGATACTAAGTTCATAAGCTGAACTGTTCAAACTAATTTATAAGTACTTTTTGGTCTATGTGATAAAATTCAAACGTGCTTAAAATTAACCAAAGGTCATAATAGTGACCTGACTTTTCAACTTATAAGCTCTTTTCCATTGATTTTTATTCCTAATATTTTTTTCTTTATAATTTTGAAATACCCTTCTTAAATAAAAACCTAACTCTCTCTCTCCCCATTATGTCTTTCATCATATTTATCCTTTTACATGTAAAGATACTTGTTAAACAAATTAATAGCTCGAACGACATTTCTATTATTTTAACTAAAAAGTTGCTTACTAGAGAACAACTAACATGTATATATCCAAACACGAAACTTTATAAAATGAATTTCAACAGCTATTTTCAATCCGCCAACAGAAACAAAATCTTAATTTTATTATGTCTCAACAGGTATCACCTTACAATACGTCAAGAACGTGATCATCCACGGTCTCCACATTCACGACATTGTCGTAGGCAATGGTGGCATGGTCATAAGCGCGGTGGACCATGTCGGAATAAGGACACAGAGCGATGGAGATGGTATTTCCATATTTGGTTCATCCAATATTTGGATTGATCATGTGTCAATGTGGCGTTGTAGTGATGGGCTTATTGATGCTGTGGAGGGATCAACTGCTATTACCATATCAAATGGACATTTCACTGATCATAATGAGGTGATGCTTTTTGGTGCAAGTGACAGTTCTTCAATTGATCAAAGAATGCAAATTACTGTGGCTTTCAATCATTTTGGGAAGAGATTGGTACAGAGAATGCCAAGGTGTAGATGGGGTTTTATTCATGTTGTTAACAATGACTACACTCATTGGAATATGTATGCTATTGGTGGTAGCCAACATCCCACTATTATTAGCCAGGGCAATCGTTTCATTGCTCCTCCTGACATTTTCAAGAAGGAGGTAAATCAACGCTCCATTCTTTCTTTTTCAGCTTATTGGGATGGTTTAACTTCTATGTACTGTCAATATAAAAAAAAAAAAAAAAATCACATTGAATCACTTAAAGATGCATTCTGTTCATGAAAAGTGAAATTAGTAACCTGAAAGAATTTTGCGCTATCAGGTCATATAAAAGATAACTACAGGTAATCGTCCATAAAAAGCAGGAACAGTAAGCGGACGAATAAGACATATGTTACCTTACTAAAATAGGTTAAAATAAACTGACAATGTAGAATTCTTTTACACTGTGAATGCGTATAAATTAAATCCCTAAAAACTAAAGTAGGTTACCTGCTACAACAGGTTAAGATGCACTTATAATATAGAAATCCTGTATATAAATTAATCCATTTGGAATTGAGGTGTAATAGTATTGGTTTCTGTACAACTGCTGATCTTTGCTATATGTGCACATGCAGATAACAAAGAGGGACTATGCCCCAGAATCAGTGTGGAAACAGTGGACATGGAGATCACAAGGTGATCTATTCATGAATGGAGCATTCTTTGTTGAATCTGGAGATCCAGATTGGACCAAGAAACACCAGAACCTTTTTGATGGGATATCATCAGCCCCAGGGGAACAAGTCACTTGGATTACAAGATTTGCAGGGGCTCTCAATTGCAGGCCAGGACATGCTTGTTAATTAGGGAGTCATTGACATCACATATATGTCCTTAAATATTTTACGTTGTATGCATGTATTGTATCAAAGTTGCTTTGTAATTTTGAACTGTTACGTACTACAAAATCACAACGAAATGAAAAAGGACTAAAATTCATACTATTACTCTCTATTAGTTGATGTACTGGCTATGCAACTCTGTGTCTATGTTTTGGTTCCCCAATTTAAATGCAATTTCTATATCAGTACGCAGTCTGTTAACAAACTATAAAGAAAAGGGGTCACAAACCATTCAACGAGTTTGAAAACAAAGGAGAGACCCCGCCTTATGGGTATCGAAAAAACCACATTACTGTATTTCATAACCTACTCCTAAAATAAATATAGGCTGTGTTACTATCAAATTTGTGTAGCAGTAAATAACATTTCTTTTATATTTCTTCTGTTTGGGAGGGATATTAGTCGTTTATCCTTAACTAACAATTTCTTCCTTCAAAACATAAAAGTTACGGTGAAAAACTAGAATTTGCTTGTTGATTCGTAAATAATCAACCTGCTATGTTACAGAAATATAAGAACATATATTTTACAAATTGTTGTAGTACTTTTTTTAGTACGACTAGCTTGTTTAGATAATTCGACGGAAGACAGTATCTAGAAATGGTCAAGAAATTTTAGCTCCTTACTACTTAGTTGTTCCAACTCAAATCCTGGCACGGAGAGTATCTACTTGCTAAGAATTTTCTCTTGTAAGAGTTGGATTTCTTATTGGCCTATCCCTTTTGGCTTTCTTCCGAAATACAAATATTTTCTCCTCGTTTGTCCTACTTCTTGCCACGGACCATGGCCAAGCGGCCAGCGGCAATGAAGTGAATATTGGTATAATATATACTGAAACAATACTGAAATTTCGTTAGAAAATTTGGATGGAAGATGATATGATTTCTAAGTCTTGAGATTTTTAAATTGCTATGCATGATATCCACTAACGGCTAGAACGTGTTCCAATAGATGATTGGCACTCACTGGAGTGACGCTCATGTAAAGAGCACACCAAACAATAAAACTACCTCTTCATATTCTTAAACATATGTGAAGGATAATTTATGCAGTCGGCTCCTAGATTATACATCTGCTAATACAAAGGAATATCTAGAAATACTGAGCATATCGCGGACAATTAGATTCACACGCTGTTCATAAATAAAAGTGTCCCACGACACCTATTTCTCATCTGCCCCAAAACTTGAGCTTCACATACACTGTAAAGAGCATTGCTGATTAGGCACGTCGACCTTCAAAGCCCCCACTCCCAATCTAAAATAGTTTTGATCTTAGGAACTCTCAGATTCGTTCCCTGAATCCATGCCGGTCGACTGAGGGTTCTTGTAACCACTGATTTGTTCGCTGTAGCGCTTCTTATCTGCCTTAGCCATTGCCTCATACGGTTCTTTCTCCTCAGCTGCAAAATCATTAATCCAACACGTGAGCCAACGTTGTATTAACTGCCTTAAGTATAAAATAATTAAAGGAAAAAAAACACAAACAAACTGCAACAAACACGACCAACATTGTGTCAACCCCCTTTAACTGTAAAATAATTGAAGCAAATATGACAAACACAATGCCACAAAATAACCAACCTGACAGCTTGTTCCATCTTTCACCAAGAACCTTCCCAGTCTCCGTGAAGGAGATTCCAGGAAAACTTTTCTTCACACTCTACAAAAACAAATGAAAGGCAAGTGAATGAGACATTACAACCACGGTGAGCCTCGAAGAGTATCTCAAACTTAACGAACAAATAGGTCACCATATCTTGACACCACGTGGTTTGTAATTTCCATCATAAATGATGACAAGGAGCAGTTAATGTGGAATAAAATACACAAAGCTTATTACAGATATTGACTAGGGTAAGTTGAATTTGCTTGGGCGAACTGGATTGCTAAGTTCGGCCATAGAGTTTCATTTGAAGGGGTAGCGTAAAGCTGGTATTCATGGTGATGCCAAGATGGGGAACTATGCAGCTGATTGGGTGGGTCTTGGCTTCACCGATAATCATGCGACATGTTCTACTGGATAACATATATTCTTCCGGAGGGAGATGGAAAGAGAGCTAAAACCATTTAAAAAATGAAGGAAATGGGAGCGGCAAAGGAAACAGTGACAAGCTGGATATAGATTGAGAAAGAAGTCCATAGTTTTGTGGTTGTGGACCAAATGCATCCCAAAACCATGATCATTTATTTTACCTTGTTGGAGTTGTTTAGACACACAAGGGATGAGGGGTATGTACCAGATATCAGGTTCATACTATATTTACATATAGATTGTGAGAAGGAATTTTCACTAGATTTGCAAGATACATGTGTAGATTTGGCGGCACGCGGTAGTCAGTTCTGAACCTACGTAATATATTGAATGTTGCAACATTTTCTTTTTGGGATGAAGTATCTTGAATGTTGCAACTTGCAACCATGGGGATGTTTTGTTTTATGTTAAGAAATGAGGAATAGGGAAAATACTTGTTTTTGGTTGACATGTCCAAAATATTTTTGTGTAGAAAGCTAGACTAGATACGCATCACCAGGTACTTGCTTTTATACATCTGAAGAGGAAAGAAGACATTGTCTCCTTGAAATATGAACATTATCTTTTTCAAGAACTCTCATCACGAAATGCTGGGAACAGACCACATAATCCAGGGAAAAGTCATCTATTTACTAAGACTACTAAACTCTTATCATCAAAGTTCAAGCAGTATGAGAAACGCAGAGAGATAAGAAATCCTGTAACAAAGCACCTACCTCTCTTTCACTCTGTGAGAAGAACATGAAAGCACTAATTGCCCTCTTCGGAGCATTTGGATCCTTCTTCTTTTTCTGTTTCTTCTTCTTCGATCCATCATCATCTGCCTTTTTCCTGCTTGCAGATGGCTTTGACACAGTAGCCTCCTTTTTGGGCTTCTTTGCAGGTTTCTGAAGTCACCATACATGAATGTCAGCTCATATTTTGCCAATGTGCAAGTTAGAACTTGAAAATATATAAATGTGAAAGGACAATTATACCTCTTTTTCACCACCACTATCACTGGCATCAGATTCATCCCCTCCAGAATCATCAGTAGGAGACCCTCCATCATCCTTGTCAAGGACAAAATCTTCATCCTGAAAAGTTTATGAATGTCAGACAGGCTTTCAAGTATTTTCCACAACACAAAGGGTAAGAAAAAGACACAATCCAACAGACGCCCTGAAAATGATTTAGAAAAAGATAATCAGGGAGTTTAAGAAGATGAAATTAACTGAAATTACAAATAGGCATGATTACCTCTTCATCACTATCATCTCCACCGGCTTCATTCTTAATACGCTCAAGATGTGGATCAACAGCATCATCTTCATCAGGCAAAACAGGAACACCTTCTGTAGCCCGAGCTTCATTAAGGTTCATTATTTTCAGACCCTTTGAACTGCAATCAATAATTGTGTCAGAGAGACAAAGTACACTTATTATCCCCAAATTGAGAAAGAAGGAAGGCTTGAAACTCAAGCTAACCTGATGAAATCAAAAAGATTGTGGTACTCATTTCTCTGGATATTCCGGAAAAGATGTTCTTGTTCAGTCTTCAGTCTGATGAGAAGATCAAAGTAATGCATGTTGGCTGTGCCCGCAGCGTGCCTCTCAAACTCCACATAATCAATCTAATTGCATAACGAATTAAGTCAAATATTCAAGAATGAAAACGTATAATTCATAAGATTATCAGCTTTACAGCAACTTGAGTATACCTCCTCATGCAGTATAAGAGTTGGTGGTTTAGGTAAAAAGAAGAAACTCTTTTCAAGAGGATAGAGAAGTCCATCTTCAGCTTTCAATGAAGACTTCACCGCATACCCATCTTGACTGCTACGGAACTTCCCTGGTTTAGTGACTTTGGCACCAGACAAGCCGCGTAAAATTTGAGTAAAGATGTCATGGATAAGACCCTGGTTCATAAGACAAATAAAATGCTAATAAGTAAACAACACCAAACACGTTCCATACCTTTAAGCAACAAAAAGCAAATATAATGAACTTGCATTTCTATTTTCATAGTTGATGTGAATCCATATGACTGTAAACGCAATAAACTAATTACCTTGTAACCCGGAAGCAGCCTATCTTTGTATTTCGCATTTAATAGATCTTCACTCAAAGCCAGCGAAAGGTCTACGACATTGTCTGTCTCAAACTGGTAAGGCAAAAAAATCAGCAGGTTGATACCAAAAATAGAATGTACGTCATTATCCACCATACATCAATCAATACCTGCAATACAATGTGCGGATACAAAGTTTGCCCCTTCCTAATCGGAGGATCAAGAGTGATAACTACTAGAGTGTGTGGTTGGTTATGCTGCAAAAGCAGAGTAAAGTTTGATAAGACGATTTCAAAAGACTGCATGAAGAAGTATAAAAGAGTAGGCATAACTAGAACATTGATGAAGGTGCTAAAAAGGGGCTGAACATAGAAATAACCTTTGGCAACAAAAAAATACGGACTACGCTGCTGTATTGAATTTTAAAGTCATTGGCTTGCCCTTGCAAGCGCAAGAATGAGAGATGAAGCTCAACATTGTAACGGCCCCTGCAGCATATGGGCACATGTCAATCACTCTGAAGCAAAAAACAGAGAGTGATAATAAATGACATGAAAAGCGGTTAACCAACCTTGGAGTAAGTATGGCAATGCCGTCAAATGTGACAACAGCTTCCTCACCTCCGGCACCAACATCAGCCATCGACATGATTTTGTCCCGGAAAACCTATTAGGCACAATCATATTACTCAATCTCTACCAAGAGAAGCTACCATGTCATGGAAGAGATTAAGGATCCCCTCCAGTGAATTCAAAGAATTGAATTAATATGCCTTTGCTTACTTGAGCAGGAGGTCGGTTTTCATCACCAACAAATTGAGTGTTTGAATTAGGGATGTGAAAGCTGATTTCCATCAGCGAGTCTTTCTGCAATCAATAGAAGTGTGGCTTACTAAGAATAGAGTGGCTTCAAAGCATGAATCAAGAAGAGTGCCGCTCAAGTAGATTAGGCATGACAGCCAAATTAGGAACACATAAATGTCAAATGTATGAAAATGAAATCCTGAGAAAACATTGACGACAGTGAGT